GTCAGCAAGGTAGAACACTTTGAAGGAAACGATTTGAAAACAGTCAGCATGTTAGAACACTTTGAAGGAAACTATTTGAAAACAGTCAGCAAGATAGAACACTTTGAAGGAAACTATTTGAAAACAGTCAGCAAGGTAGAACACTTTGAAGGAAACTATTTGAAAACAGTCAGCAAGGTAGAACACTTTGAAGGAAACTATTTGAAAACAGTCAGCAAGGTAGAACACTTTGAAGGAAACTATTTGAAAACAATCAGCATGTTAGAACACTTTGAAGGAAACTATTTGAAAACAGTCAGCAAGGTAGAACACTTTGAAGGAAACTATTTGAAAACAGTCAGCAAGGTAGAACACTTTGAAGGAAACTATTTGAAAACAGTCAGCAAGGTATTACACGTTGAAGGAAACGATTTAAAATACAGAGTAGGATTTCAGTTTTTCATAACTTACAAAGTGATGATCTCCATCCACTGTGGGTTTAAGGAGGATTTAACGGTCCTCGTTTTCTTCTTTAAGCAGTCCCCACTCTCTGGAATCAGCTTAACTTTCACGTACGGATCTGAGAGTCCGTTAGGATCCATTGGAATCAAATTCTGAGCTTGGCAAACTACAGAAAGATTTTTTTTATTATAAATAAAATTTCATCCATCTTTAGGGAATGTAACTGAATAAAGAGCTCGAGTGTTAAAATAACAGTATCAGAGAAAGATAATAGTCATTACCATAGACAAGCGACGGCATTAACTAGAAGTAAAGAACTTCAAATGTTAAACAAAATATCTTACCAAGGTAACTTACTTCAAACGTTAGACAAAATATCTTACCAAGGTAACTTACTTCAAACGTTAGACAAAATATCTTACCAAAGTAACCTACTTCAAATGTTAGACAAAATATCTTACCAAAGTAACCTACTCCAACTGTTAGCCAAAATATCTTACCAAAGTAACCTACTTCAAATGTTAGACAAAATATCTTATCAAAGTATCCTACTCCAACTGTTAGACAAAATATATTAACAACATAGCCTATTCCAACTGTTAAACAGAATATCTTAACAAGGTAACTTAATCCAACTGGTAGACAGAATATTTTAACAAAGTAACAGTGGACCTATCACTGAAATGCAGGGTATTGGAGACTGAGTGAGGTTAACTGACTCCTCTCTGGAGACAGAGAGGTTTAACTGACACCTTTCTGGAGAGAAGTTAACTGGCCCCCTTCTGGAGACTGAGAGGGGTTAAATGACCCCTTTCTGGAGACTGAGAGGGAGGTTAAATGGTGCACACTAGTCAGTAGTGATTATTTCACTAAGGGGCAGAAGCTTATTCTTTGCACAGTCTATCACTGGTGTGTTGGCAGAGCAGTGGGTAGCACATTTCGGTGCTCCTGGAGAGACTCACGTGGATCACTTAACTAATTTCAACAGCTAATTTTTCTCTGAATTGTGCACATTTTTGAATGTAGTGAAGAAATGCACTTCACCTTATCACCTCTAGTCACACGGTTTGGCAGAATGGGGTATATGACTTTTAAACATATATTTGCAATGTTTTTATTAATTATTGTCAAACTTATTGAGATGAACATTTGGTGTATGTCACGATGATTTACCATGCAATAGAACACAGATTGACTGGCTGTTCGTCTAACCTGCTCATGTTTAGGTGGGAAGCAATACTCCTTGTAGATGTGAAATACAGCCCACCTTCTAGTGACACAATGTTCAAAGAAGATGCACTCTAGGAACTATTTAAGGCAGTTATATGACAGAGGAGATGATACGACAAAACAGTGAAGGAAGTAAGTGCCTTTAGCATGAAAGCCGACAGAGGAGATGATACGACAAAACAGTGAAGGAAGTAAGTGCCTTTAGCATGGAAGCTACTCAACTCAGATTGGACTGGTTCACAAATAGTACTCCAAGAAGTTGTTTTTTTGATGTACGAAATCCAACATAATACGACAAAACAGTGAAGGAAGTAAGTGCCTTTAGCATGGAAGCCACTCAACTCAGATTGGACTGGTTCACAAATAGTACTCCAAGAAGTTGGTCTTTTGATGTACGAAATCCAACATTCATAAGATATATGCAAGCACATTTAATAAATGGATAGGCTGCAACCATATGTTACAAATGAATATCTCGTGCTTTGTACTTGTACCCTGGCTTGGGGAATCAGAGTTTGGTGCTAATGAGTCTAAGGAAGACGTGACTGTTATAGAGCATCTCAGCTAAGCTGATGATGATGAGGAAGACAATAGTTCTCATCTGGTTGTGTTTGGCAAGTCAGGTGAGAAAGGAAGCATAAAGCTCCATTTATCTGAGATGTTGATTACCTCCTGATTTTTATTGCTGAGATTAACTACGAGACCAGTAGTTATTACAGTCACTAAGTGAAAGAAAGTAGCGATCCTTATTTTCGAAGTTATTTAGTGACGCTCAGTTTGTGTGATTTTATGCTCCATTATCACAGTTAGGATAGTTCTTTGGTCGAGAAACTAATAACTGAAAGAGCCTTGCAATCTAAGCCTTCCAAGCTATCTGGTAATACTTTACAAACATATGAATGAACTACATTTTACGACTACTACTCAATTTCCACAGCTAGGGCAATATTTGGTTGAGAAACTAACAACTTAAAGGTTGTCATGATTCTTTCTTTCCAAGCGTTTGTGAATGATATAGACCGTTAAAAAGTGGAAATGGCATTTTTATGACAACCACTAGATATCCCCAAGCTTAGGCAGTTATTGATCAAGAGACAACCACTGAAAGAGTGTTGTGATATTGCTTTGTGAACAACTGATTGATTTTCCACTGCGGAGCAGTAGTCCAACAAACTATATTGTGCACTGTACTGGGAATAAACTACTTAATCTGTAACTAGAGATGCTTTGCTGTGATGCTGACTAACATGCGTGGATTGATCTGTGTAAGGTGATATAATGTCCCAATAATCAACAGTTGGTAGCCATTCCCAAGAGTGAATACTGTTGACTTTTGTAGCTAGCTAGCCCTAGTTCACTTTCACATATATTAACATAGAAGTTAGTGATAGAACAAATATTAATTCTGACAAAATGAATTTTTGGCTGAATAGTCTATTTCAAGTAAATTATACTATATAGGAATTATTAATTTCGGAAAGATGGTAAAATTCTGTTACGTCTCACTGCTTCCAGATGGCAGCACGTTATTGGAACACTTCTGATGAGTAATATTCTATAGTAGCTGGTAAAGGTTATTATGATAATGAGACTTCAGTCTAAGACGACTTGTGAACCACTGCCAACTCCTGGGCTCCTCTTTAACCAACAAATAGTAGGATTGACCATCACATTATAATCCCCCCCACGACTGAGAGGTCGAGCATATTCGGTGATTTGGATTCGAACCCGCGAATCACATATTGTGAGTTGAACACCCCTATCACCAGGCCATGTCAGGCCCGACCTTGTGCTGAAAAATGGTTAAAATATATTCAGAAAACACTTTGTTCTTTGGAAACATCTCAGTCTACATGATTGACAATATTTCATCAAACAAAACACTTGATTTACTTCTGTTGTGTTTGATGATACTGTTTATGAATTTTCCAGATAACTCTGTCTCACTCATCGATACATATCAGTTCAATGTGCTTTAAATGTTACCGCTAAGACTAGTGAAACACAGATAAAACTGTCTTTTTGCAAGTGTTTCAGGAGCCTATCCGTTACTCACATCTGTTTTTGTAAAATCCACTACCTGCTGAATGTGTGAATGTGAAAACTGAGACATTCTCGTACCTGCATTAAGAAACTAAATGACTTCTATTTCGTCACATCATACCTAGCAGGCCGGTAACCACACTTAAATTCACAACTCAACGTCTTAGCATCCTTATTGAATTGCATTCCAAGGTTGTTTCTTCAATGATTGATTGACTTTGTGGTAAACAACACTCATGGATGACTTTGTTTAAAGTTTTGTATAAGTGGATGCCCAATTATCCTTTCGAAAACTATCAGTTTGGTATCGTGCTGCCATCTGTAAGTGATTAAACATAACATATTTTTACTAGCTTTTCATAGCAAATAATTCCATGTGGAATTTAGCTGAGCTAAACTATTCAGCCAAAATTCCTTTCGCCAGAACCAATATTCGTTCTATCACTACCATATACATCAATGCATTTTCAAATGAACTGCCACCTCGCCAATATGCTTATTGTTGCTAGACAAAGTAATGAAATGACATTATGATAGGTCCTACTGCCGCCTTACTAACTACTGTTCATTACTTTGTCTGGCAAATTACATTATGATAGGTCCCACTTCCGCCTCACTAACTACTGTTGTTAGACAAAGTAAAGAAATGACATTATGATAGGCCCTACTTCCACCTTACTAACTACTGTTGCTAGACAAAGTAATGAAATAACATTATGATAGGTCCTACTTCCGCCTCACTAACTACTGTTGCTAGACAAAGTAATGAAATGAAATTATGATAGGTCCTACTTCTGCCTCACTAACTACTGTTGCTAGACAAAGTAATGAAATGACATTATGATAGGTCCTACTTCTGCCTCACTAACTACTGTCGCTAAACATCTAAAGAAATTACACTATGATAGGTCTTACTTCTGCCTCACTAACATGCCTACTGTTGCTAGACAAAGTAAAAAATGACATTATGATAGGTCCTACTTCCGCCTTATTAACATGCTTACTGTTGCTAGACAAAGTAAAGAAACGACATTATGATAGGTCCTACTTCCGCCTCACTAACTAATATTGCTAAATGTTTAAAGAAAAGATGCTGGTGTTAAAGTACATTTTTGAAGGGATACGTTAATTTATTATTCAATAAGATAAATATTCGTACCACCCCTTACAGTTTATAATGAGTTTAAACCTCCTTCTTATAAAGCTTTCAGGTTGACATCTATGTGTGTATGTTTTACTCTTGATAATGGCAGCTGCCAAAACATGTAGTCTTGAAATGTTGGCTGCAGGCCAATTAAAGTTTATATTTTTCATTTTGAAAGTTGTTCCTGTATTTGATTTATTTTTTGCATGAGTTTCTGTGATTGATCTTTGATTTTGACTCATTGATTGGGATTGTATGGAGTCAACTGGTGAAGGATACATATTTGAGAAATGTTAAAAAATAAACTGCTTTCAATCCAGGAGAGGCATGTTCTTAAAAAGAAAAAAAAAGATAACGAGGGAGATGAAACGTGAAGAAAAACTACAGAGATAAATGCCACAAGTTTGATTATTTTAAATTGACAAATATAATGGAAGAAAAGCTATGAATGTGGTTCAAAAGACAGTAAGACATCCAAAAGGGCTGAAGAGAAACAACCGGCTGATAATGTTAAACCAACAGCAAGGACGTTTTAAACATGTTAAGGATAAGAAGAGTTTTAAGATTGTAATTTGGCCCTTAAAAGATGCTGATGTCAAGGATTTTATTGAAGGCTGTAATATGATCAAGTTTTAAAATCTTTTTACAAGAGAAGATGCTAATAACATTCCTGATTCCGAACATTCTAAGGGAAATATTGGAATTGACCTGAATCATTTAGATACTAATCCTTTGGTGG